AGGAGGAGGAGGAAGGGGAGCGAAGAGGAGCGAAAAGGAGAAACGAAAAGGCGGAGCGAGGACAAGGACGAGAAGAAGAAGGAGAAGAAAAGGAAACGGAGGAGAAGAAGGAGGAGGAGGAGAAGGAGGAGCGAGGAGGAGCGAGGAGGAGCGAGGAAGAACGAGGAAAAGGAGAAGAGGAAGAACGAGGAGGGGCGAGAAGGCGAGGAGGGAGGAGGCGAGGAGGAGGAGGGAGGAGGAGGAGGGAGGAAGAGGAGAGGAGGAGGAGGAGGAAGGAGGAGGAGGAGGGTCAGCGAGGAGGAGGAGGAGGAGGAGGAGGAGGAGGAGGAGAGAGGAGGAGGAGGAGCGAAGAGGAGCGACAAGGAGGAGCGAAAAGGAGGAGCGAGGAGGAGGAGAGGAGAAGGAGAAGGAGAAGGAAAAGGAGGAGGAGAAGGAGGAGGAGGAGGAGGAGGAGTATGGGGGGGAGGAGAAGGAGGAGGGGAGGAGGAGGAGGAGGAGGAGGAGGAGGAGGAGGAGGAGGAGGAGGAGGAAGCGGACGAGGAGGAGGAGGCCGCGTCCCGCCGCCGCCGAGGCCAGAAAACGCTCTTTTTCGGGCCGCCGATGCGACCGAACAAGCTTCACTGAGAGCAGTATCGGCGGAGACGATTGGACGGCGGTCAGTCACGCTCGAGGCCGACAGCTGTCTGATCTCTCCGACAGGGGTTCAAACAACGCGCGAGGGAGGGAGGGCAGGGAGCCCGACGAGGAGACCTGAAAACGGCAGCGGATCAGGGCTCCCCTGAAACACGCGGCCTCTCGTGCTGTGGTATCTTGCAATCATCAGCAAAGTAGAGCGCATGCCGCCTGCCGCCGCCGCCGAGGCCCGAGGACGCTCTTTTTCGGGCCGCCGATGCGACTGGACAAGCTTCACTGGAAGCAGCACCGGCGGAGACGATTGGACGGCGGGCAGGCGCGCTCGAGCCCGACAGCTGTCTGATCTCTCCGACAGGGGTTCAAACAACGCAAACCTGCCAAACAATCCTTTCATCATCTCTGAACAAGCTGAACACTTCACCAGTAACCGAATACTAAAGCACGTGCACACATTTACCGCGAAAGGACAACTTTGGAGAGGACAGCGGTCGGAGTCGAACCGCGCGCCTGACTGAAACACTCTGCGAGCACGGCACACAGCGACGGCGGGTATTATTGGGCAGCTTTCGTCTTGAAACCACCGCCCTGCGCTAAACCGTGGATGGATGCACGCGTTTGTCCCTGTCCTACTGCGCACGGGACCGCAACTATGACACGCACGAGCGATGGGATCGAGCGAAACGCGATCGCCGAGGAAACGAGTGGGCTTCTTCCACTGGGTGCCCCCCTGGCACATGTCCGTGGCTACCGGAGCACTGGAGCTCCATTTCAAGGCCTTTTGCACACGCGGGAGAAGCCACAAATAGGAGCGGCCGGGGCTCTCAAGGGCCACTGGGCGGCCCAAAAGATGCATCAAGTCGAAGATACTGCAACAGAAACCGGCGAGAAGATTGCCAATTCGAATGGCCTCATGATCACTCGGCTGAGTCACTTCAGGAAGCCTCATCAGATGTCGATCTGATCTCAACCTCGAAGGCAACACCAGCCCAGCCTGCCCCGGCACGCGCAGCGGCCCCGCGTCTCGGGCGCGCGTCCAGGTCTGGCACGGCGCCCCGAGGAAGGCCCCCCACACCTGGCCAGCAAGGATCCAGCCGCGGACGAGCTTGCGGGCAGCCGGCGCGGAGAGACCCCACGCCGCGCCTCGCCGGATGCCCCACTCTAGCACCAGGAAACCTTTCCGCCCGCATAGCCCGCGAGAGCCCGCCACTGCCGCTGAACAGCTCAGGAAAGACCTGCGGCTGGACGAGGCGGGCGCCCCTGCCGGCCTGGGCGCGAGCGAAGGCCTCTGGAGACAGCAGGGCAGCCGCGAGGCCGCCTCGACCGCGCGCCTCCGAGCGTCGGACGATAGCCGCCGCAGCTGCCCCCCCGCGCGCCCCTCCTTCCGGTAGCGCCTGACGCTCGAGTCGCAGCGCCACCGCCCTCACAACTCGATATCCTGCAGCGTTCTGAGCTGCCAAGCTCGGTCGCGGCTCGGCCCGCTGCGGCGCAGCATGTACAATTCGGGCCCCGGCGCCCGCAGGCCCGCCCGATGGGCGGCCTCGCGGAACTGCGCCACCTGATCGGCGTGCCTGAACCCGAACAGCGGCTCCCGCGGCGGGGTCTCGCGCTCGAGGAAGGCGAGCGCGGGCACCGCGAAGTGGAACAGCGGCAGGTCGAACACGACGGTCTCGTCGAACTCCCTCGCCTTGCTGCTGACCGCTTCCTCGCTGGGGCGCAGGACAATCGCCCAGTGCAGCACGTGCGTTCCAGGCACCGGCGGGGCCAGCATCTCGCCGCGCGCCCGACGCAGCTCGCTCGGGCGAAGGCAGCAGTGAAAGGTGATCACCGTTCAGACCGCCATCGCCCAGCAACCCGTCAGCAGCAGCTCCAGCGCGATCAGCGCAAACGCGCAAACGCCTCCCAGGGCAGGGGCAGCCGAGCCCGCCCTGGGGCCAGCCGCTTCCACCCCTTCAGCGCTTGTGCCGACTGCGGCGAAAACCTGCCGCCCGCCCTGGCGCACTGCGGCCTGAAGTATTTCGCTGCGGCCAGACCCTCGGTCCCCCGCTGCGCCAGCTCCCCGAACGAATACTCCTGATCCATCCACCTCGACAGCACGAGGTCGAGCTCGTCGTCGCTCGGCTCGGGCTGGATCGACCCGGGCGGGCGCAGCTGCTGCCGCGGAAGGATGCCCTGCCAGAGGCTCTCGCACTGCGCCACAGTCTTAAGCGTCACCGAGGCGCGCTGCAGACGAGACGCCGCCCCGCGCGGAGCCGGCAATGGAGCACGGCTGACAGCGCCCCTGGCCCGCCGAGCCACCCGCGCCAGCTTGCGGCCCCCGGCCCCTGGCCCCTGGAGTCGGCTGCCCCACCAGCTCCGCCCTCGCCTGCGCCGCCCCCGCGCTCAGGCGCCGCCCTCGGCGCCGCGGCGGAGGCAGCAGGCTGCCCGGAGCCGCGCTGCTCACCGCGGCGGGCGCCACGGAGCCTACCGACCGCGGGCTCGCGCGCGGCCAGCTCGGCGAGCCCCTGGCCTGCGCCCAGGCCGTCGGCCAGCCAGCTGACGCATCCAGCGCCCATGCGGCGCCAGTGCCCCAGCCCCACTGCAGCGTCCGCCTCGGAGGAGATGATCCTGACGCCGATGGGGGCGCGGCGGCGCGACGGCGCATCAGCGACTTTCCGCTCAGACGGAATCCATCGCACTGACGCCTGCAGCGCCCCAGCCAGGCACCAGGCCGCCCATTGGCGAGCGACTCGCAGGGCCCCCCCGCCGAGGAGCGGCCTTCTCAATCGCACACACGAGCCACATGTCATCACAGAGGAAAAGGATGCGCTTGCCGAACGACTTCGAGACACGAAGAGCATGTCTAGGAGAGCGGACGAGAGCACGACCCTCGAGCACGATGATATTCTCAGCCCTCGCCCACCCCCCGCTCGACACCACCTGCCACTCTCCACCGCGCAGCTCCTCCCCCACCTCCGTGACCTTCCACGGGTTGCCCTCAGGATCCCCCTCCTCCTTCGCCTGCAGCGACACGACGGGCTTCTCGTTCGGCGACGCGACGGGCTCGACGATCGGCTCGAAACTCGCATCCGCGACGGTCTGAACGCGGCTCTGCTCGAAAAGGCAGTCCCGGGGTCGAGCTCCGCCTCGCCGTGCCGCGCCCTGCCGGCGCGACGGCGCCGCGCCGCGCGGCCGCCGCCACCCTCGCCAGCTGCAGCTGCGTGGCACCAGTCGGGGACCGGGAGGAGCAGGAGCGCGCGCTGCAGGTGATCGTCGCCCCCGCCCGCGACCTCTGCTGCTACCCCCCCGGGCCGAAGCAATCCGGGGGGCGGGCCCATCATCGTGACTTCCCGGGAGGAGCTGAGCTGCCCTTGGCCGATTTCTGCTCCTCCCGAAGCTTCCTCGCGTTCTTTTTGATGCCGTGGGTCCTCTCCAGTTCTTTCGACACCGTGTCCAGCAGCTCCAGGCCCACCATCGAGGGAGAGCGTGACCCTCCCATGAACGCGAAGGCCTCCTCCAAAGGCATACACATGTTGTGCTGCTGCTGCTCCGCACTCCTGTCGTCCCAGTAGGGCTCGATCAACTGGAGCTTCCTGTCGCCAGTCTCCGCGCTCGAGAGTTTGAAGACGTCCAGGTGGTCGTTGGAGCCCATCAACTCGAGCATCTTCGAAATGGTCTCGCGGTTGTCGACTCCAAAGTCGGACGAGTTCAGCTTGCGCTTCGACTTCCACATCTCATGATGGAGGATCGGGCCGCCTTCCCTCACCCGGTACTTCGCGCACCACTGCGCCGTCCTGTGCGGCGCGACCCCAAAGCCAGGGACGGCCTCCTCGCGGTAGAGCCCCACCACCTCACGCCATTCTCGGCCGTTTCCGCCCAGCTGATCAGCCCCAGGCGGAATCTCCAGCGCGCGGCGTGCGGGCGTCACTGCCGCGGTACTCCTGCGTGAACCAGGGCAGCTCGGCGTCCTGCAGGAGCACCGCGCTCGCCCCCAAGCCGCCCGCCAGCGACAGCAAGCCCCGCCGACCCACGCGACCAACTAGGGTCGCACCTCCTGGGGCCCGGACGGCCACCTCCGCGCCGAACGTGATCGCCCCATCGACATCCTCCGCGGCGATCCAATGCCATCCCGCCGCCAGCTCGCCACTCGGCAAGGGCGCGACAAGCGCCGAGTCGGGCACGGCGGGGGCCCTCATCGGCGCGGCAGGCGGCGCGGGCAGTGGCGGCGCCTCGGCCACCGGCACCAGAGCAGCGCCAGGGCCTCCGGCGGCAGCCGCAGCGCCAGGCAGGGCCGCCAGCGCCAAGGGCCCAGCGTCCGCGGCGGGCGGCGCGGCGGGCCCGGCGGCCAGCAGCGGGGGCACCCCCAGAGCAGGATCCGCCAGCGCCGCCGTCACAGCAGGCAGCCCCGCGCAGTTCACCGCCGACACCGTGAGCAAGAAAGGCGAGACGGGCAGAGCTCCGTAGCTCTGGCCCGCCCCTCGGCGCAGCGCCGCCCAGACCTCATGGGCGGTCGGCAGGCGTCTGACCCTGTAGACCCGATTGGCGGCGACTCCTCCCACGCGGCCGCCCTGCCCGTGCACGAAGTGGACCTCCTGCACGTCCGCGTCGCCCACCACCGACCCGCCGTAGTCGTCGAAGTCGGGCGTCATCACGTACCCTGAGGTGAAGAGGTCCAGCCGCTCATGGTACAGCACCGGCCCTCCGACGCGATAACGAGTGAGATGAAAATCTCCTGGCGTCGCCATCGGGGTGGCCTTCAACGGCAGCTTGCCGACGGCCGTCGGCGGAATGCCTGGACCTGCTCCAAGGGAGGCAGGAGGAGGCAGCAAGAGGGAGGGAGGGATGGAGGGAAGGAGGCAGGAGAGAGCAAGGGGAAGAAATCAGCTGGGAGAAGATGCCTCGCTGGGCGCTGCTAGGTCACTCGCCTACGGGCATGCCGGTACACCACAACCTCGAAGCCCCCGAGAGAGACCCCCCAGGTGACCAATCGTTTCCATCATGGTATAAGAGCAATTCGCAGCCCCTGTTGCTTCGGCACGGAGTTTCTATCAGTCCTTGGGCCACGCCACAGGGCGCCCGAAAAGGCCAACGGCTGACATGAGATGGCCGCAGGAACTGCCCAAAGATCGCCCCCATACCCATCCCCTCCTCGTCCTGCCCTCCTCCTCCTCATCATCCTCCTCCTCCTCAAGGCCCCGCTTTTGTTCCGAACTCGAGGTCGTTTGGCAGGCTGGTGATTGCGAGGCTGGGCAGAAATCGTGGGGGGTAGGGGTGGGGTTCGCATGTGGCCCCCTGGTGAGGTCGCAGGCTACGTTCAGGGGAGCGGCTCGCCTTCGCCCTCGCGTCGGCCAGTGCCGTGCTCGCCTCGGCCTGCGGCAGCTCAGCCCGTCCGATTGCTGCCAAAAAGTAGTTCTGCCGGATGGGGGTATTCCCGCGGGTGTGAAACAGGTTCTCTGCAAGTGATATTCGGCGGTGGACAAACCTCGTCGGACCTGGCACCGCGTGGCGCATAACATTTGAACATGAACTGCAGGCTTAAACATTGCAGCAATGGTCCACGCTTCACGTTCCTCGAAAGCGGTATCTGTTATCCGGCGACCCTCGACCCCGTCAGACGGGGCATCATGTATCGTTCAAGTTGCTTATAAGCGGTGTGAAAGGTCGGCCTTCAAATAACGACCCGAGCTTTTCACTCCTCGAAGAAGCTTCCCGTTCGCCGACCCCTGACTGTTGGGGGTGAGAAGGCGAGTGAGATGCTGGGATGCCCTGTTCCCCCCCTGTTCCCCTCCCTCCCTGGGGTCCAGCATCCCCGTCAGACGACGGGAGGCGGAGGGGAGGACCAGCTCCTCATGGGCACCTCCTAAGCCCCCCGAGGCTCCGCATCCAGCCTGCGACGCCTCCAAGACGCCCGATGTGCTCGCTCTCCAAGGCGACCCAAGAAGTGCCCCAACACGCCCGAGGGGCCTCAATAAGAGCTCGAGAAACACTGAGCGACACTAAGAAAAAGGAAGCGTGTCATAAGAGGGAGCCCCGGCACCCAAAATGAGTCAGAGCCTCAGGTTCGCTTTCTCGCCTCGAGACGCCTGGTCCAGTGAGCTTCCAGAAGGCGCCCAGACAACCCAAGATGCCCACAAGGTGGGCCACAGAGGCTCCTGGCTGGCATCCGAAATGGAAAGCTACTCACTGCGCGGAGCTCCCCACATGTGCATCTATTAGCATGGACCTGTCCGCCGTGAGTGTCTAGGCGCAAGAGTTTTCGAATGTAAACGGGCTTGAGTAGTGACGGTCTGGGAGCGAGTCTGTATGTGAATGAGTTCGAGCGTGAATGAGTCTCAGTAGTAGGAGTGCGTCTCTGCGCATGAGCCTGGGGCATCGTACGGCCTCCTGAAGCCTCCTGGGGCGTCTTGGGGCTTCCTGCGGCTCTCCTGAGGCTTCCTGGGCCCTCGTGTGGCCTCCTGAGGCCTCCTGGCGCCTCCTGGAGCCTCCTGGGGTCTCCTGGGGAGGACTCGTGCCCCAGAAGAGGCCCAATCCATAGAACAGACGTGCATAAAACACTGCGATGTGGAGCCACAGGAGAAGGGCAAGATTAGGAACACACGTATAGCATCAAGGACTCGTGCCCAGGGGAGGCCCACCCTGTAGGAACATACGTAAAACACGTAGATTTGGATACACAGGAGAAGGACAATATATAGAAACATACGTAAAACACCCAGGATTCGTGCTCCAGGTGAGGGCCAATATATAGGAGCGTACGTAAACACATGGGATTGGAGCCACCACTGTGGCCTTCTGAGGCCTCCTGCTCATGGGGCCTCCTGGTGCCTCCTGGCGTTTCCTGTGGGCTCCTGCTGCCTACTGGCGCTTCGTGTGGCCTCCTGGGGCCTCCTGGGGCCTCCTGGGCCCTCCTGGGGCATCCTGGAGCATCATGAAGCCTCCTGAGGCCTCCTGGAGCTTCCTGGGGCCTCCTGGAGCCTCTTGGGGCATCCTGTGGCCTCTTGAGCCTTCTGTGGCCTCCTGGTGCCTCCTCGGACTGAGGATCTGTGCCCACGAGCCTGGCCACCAAAACAGGCAAACCGATCGAGACATCCTCAAAATCTAGCCCGCGCCTCGCTCAAGACATCCTCCGACTTAGCCCCGCCGTCATCATCGTCGTCGTCGTCATCATCATCATCATCATCATCATCATCATCATCATCATCATCATCATCATCATCATCAGCATCATCATCATCATCATCATCATCATCATCATCATCATCATCATCATCAGCAGCAGCAGCAGCATCAACATCAACATCATCATCATCGTCATCATCATCATCATCATCAGCATCATCATCATCATCATCATCAGCAGCAGCATCATCATCATCATCATCATCATCATCAGCAGCATCATCATCATCAGCATCGTCATCATCATCATCATCATCATCATCAGCATCATCATCATCATGATCAGCATCATCATCATCATCAGCATCATCATCATCAGCATCATCATCATCAGCATCATCATCCACGTCATCATCAGCATCATCACCATCATCATCATCATCCTCATCAGCAGCATCATCAGCAGCATAATAATACAAATAATCATCATCATCAGCATCAGCATCAGCATCATCATCATCAACAGCATCATCATCATCATCATCAAAAACATCATCATCATCATCATCAACATCATCATCATCTGCATCAGCATCATCATCACCAGTATCATCATCATCATCAGCAGCAGCAGCAACAGCATCATCATCATCAGCATCATCATCATCAGCATCATCATCATTAGTATCAGCATCATCATCATAAGCAGCAGCATTATCCTCATCAGCAGCAGCATCATCATCAGCATCAGCATCTGCATCAGCATCAGCAACAACATCCGCATGAGCATCAGCATCATCATCATCAACATCATCATCCGCAGCATCATCATCAGCAGCAGCAGCATCATCATAATCAACATCATCATCAGCAGCAGCATCGTCATAATCATCATCACCATCATCCACGTCATCATCATTATCATAATCGTCATCACCATCATAGGCATCAGCATAATCACCATCGTCATCATCAAAATCATCAGCATCCTCATCATCAGCATCATCATCGTCGTCAGCATCAGCATCGTCATCATCATCAGCATCAGCATCATCAGCAGCAACAGCATCATCACAAGCATCAGCATCAGCAGAATCAGCATCAGCTTCGTCTCCATCATCAGCATCAGCATCATCGGTATCATCATCATCATCATCATCATCATCATCATCATCATCATCAGTATCAGCATCATCATATCATCGTCATAAGCAGCAGCATCATCATCAGCAGCACCATCAGAATCAGCAGCATCATCACAACCACCATCAGCATCAGCATCACCACCATCAGCATCACTTATATTATAGCATAGCATAGGATGCAACAACATAACAGTAGCATGACATGGTATCACATAACATGAAATACCATATCATGGCAGAACATAACATTGCATGGCATAGCGTAATATGGCATGGCATGCCATGCCATTGCATAACACGGCATAACATAGCATAATATAACATAACAAGCATAACCTAGCATACAATACCATAGCATAGCATAACATGGCGTACCATACCATAACATGAGGAGAAGGAAGAGGAGGGAGGTTCTGGAGGAGTTTGCGTGGTCGGAGCAATAACGAAAATTATCCCGGTGCGACCCTACCTAGGAGTTGGAGCCCCAAGGAAAGCAGCATTAGTAGTAACAGTAAAGCTCAGCTAAAGCTAAGCTACAGCTAAGCTAAAGCTAAGCTACAGCTAAGTTAAAGCTAAGCAAAAGCTAAGGTAAAGCTAAGCTAAAGCTAAGCTGAGGCTAAGCTAAAGCTAAGCTAAAGTTAAGCTAAAGCTAAGCTTAAGCTAAGCTACAGCTAAGCTAAAGCTAAGCTAAAGCTACGGTCAAGTTAAGCTAAAGCTAAGCTAAAGTTAAGCTAAAGCTAAGCTTGAGCTAAGCTGAAGCTAAGCTGCAAGCTAAGCTAAAGCTAAGCTACAGCTAAAGCTAAAGCTAAGCTAAAGCTAAGCTAAAGCTAAGCTAAAGCTCCCAGGGGACTGGGGGAACCGCTCCCAGGGGACTGGGGGAACCGCCCGGGGCGTGTAGCACTGCCCGGTCCCTTTAAGCTAACAGAGTAAGAACCCTTCTAGGCAGAGCCTAGGTAGGGAAAAACATCCTGTCGATATGGGGAATAAAGGGCTGCATCAAGACAGCCTCAAGGACGGCTCGCGAAAATTAGCCTGGCGAAAGACCCAACCAGATGCAGTTGTGAGTAATGCTGGTGTGAGTACCCTCTTCGGTGGATCTCCCTATGGGGCCACGAACCGTTTGAGGGGTGTGCCGAAATGGGTGTGGGGGCGGCATGCGAACGTTGCCACTGGGGCCTTCGGTGGAGCTCCTTATGGGGCCACGAAACGTGTGAGGGGTGCACCGAAGTTGGTGTGGGGGCGGCATGCGAACGCAGTCGAAAACAAGCTGGTAAGCTTAGGTATGTGTTACGCTTTAAGCGTTGCCATATCCCAGGCTTTGGCTCATATCGCATGAGCAAGAGTGCAAGACGAAGCATGGGATCTGGAGTAAAGGATAGGATGGGCATCGTCAATGGAAAAGGTATTTTCCGATCTCTGATGCAAGTCGTGCGCCTCAGTGAGGCACAGTCATATATTTGGCCGGGCCCGGCTTGAGCCAGGCACGGCAGCGGTACATGCTCGATTTATACCTCGCCTTTAACCTTCTCCGTTTAAAGTCGGAGGGGGAGGAGACGAGCAGGTACCGCACTTCTACATTATGCGGAAAAACAGTGCTAAGCAGCAGCGGCTGCCTACAAGGAAAGGGCGCGCGAGTAGCCTCGCTACCGGCGAGTTTCCTCGCTACTAAAGCGCACCTGCCCGCGGGTTTCCCCGCTGGCTCGGGAGGCAGGGCCGTC